ATGCTTGATGAAAATTAACACAATATACAGTGAAATTAAAAATTACATTAAAATATAAAATACATTTGATTACAATATAAAGTTTTAATTTGTACATAATATATCTGGGAAAATTATGTATAGTTAATATAAATAAATAAATAAATATTTAAGCCTCTTAGATAAAAAGTAGTAGAACCAAGTTAATGGATCAATGACTTAATTTTATATATACTGTACATTTATAACATTATGGATAATTATATTATAATGTGGTAGGTACACAATTTTACTACTTGCACTGTAATGTCCAGTTGCATTTATACTAATTAAAATTAATAATCATTTTTATCAGATTTCATACACTTCCTTAAATTACATTGTTTTTGTAACTTAATAACATTAATTTTTAAGGTACTTTTTTATGGCTTGCTGAATTTTATTTGCTTGTATTTATTTTTTAATAATTTATCGTTCTAGAAGTTATTAGAATGTATTCCTTTTATTTATATATAAAATTATGAGTTTTTATATTTTTAGTCACCTACATTAACTTTTTCTTGCAGTATTTGATAGTAACTTGCCTACAAAAAACAAATATTTATATCATTTAGCTTGTAAATTATTTTCAAAAAAGACTACATCTTACCTTAAAAGTGGTAAACATAATACCAAGTTCTCCACTTTGCAAAGAAGGTTCCATAAAATCTTCTATAAACTGTATTTCACTGCCTAATTGTAATATCCTAGCTCGTACGACGACAAAACAAAAAACAGGAAATAATTCGTCCATTGTCCATAAATATGTGGAATCCAACTGTTTTTGTACTGCCTATGAATGTAGCAGGACATTGTAATTTCATAAATATCAAAACACATTATAAATTTACTTACTTGGGTCATTTGTTCAAATGTATTTCTAATCACCAATAATTTTTCTAATGGGGAGAATGTCGTTTTCAATTGTTGCAAAGTTTCTATTGCATCATTAAAATATGATTCATTTTGATACTGTAACCTGTTTTCGTTTAGCTTCATCATATTTGCATTCTTCCAAAATTTTCTATAATTATATTTATTGGTTTACGTGCAAGGGTAATAAGTTTTATTTTTTAATATGAATAGTATGCAAGTACTTACTGGTCAATATCCAGAAATGCCATTAGTGTTGTGTCTGATTGCTTGTTCCATTTCATCAGTCTTTCCCAATAGGCATCATCTTCTTTTGTATTATGTAGAGCATATAGTACAAAAAGTACAGAATGCACGCGAGGTAATATTATTGGATGCATTATCGCAGTAGTACTTATAACTTGCCTAGTGAAGTAATTTATCAAAATTATTATTGTTATGTAAATTAATAGTTATTGAAAAACATAGGCTTTACAAATAAATAATTACTGGATTGTAGATGTTTACTTATATTACTATAATTAATTAATTCTACAATAGTTATAATTAAACTAAGCAAACTAGTAGTTATATAAAAATCAACATACCCTTCTTCTCCATTTTCTGTTTCCAATACATACTCTTCTCCATTAGATGGTAATATGGGAAACAATAAAGTAACTATTTCATATATTCTTGTTGTAATACTATGAAGTTCAGATATAGCATGAGTGAGTAACAAAGGATGAACTCTTACACCACCATACGTAGCTGTGTATACAGCAGAAACTTCTGTTAACAAAATACCTAACGGATGATGTGGACATTCAAATGCTTTAACCAAATATTTATGAATATCATTGTAGGATTTATCAGTCAATTTTTCTTTGTCAAAATTAAAAATTTTATCTAGTTCATCGGTAATTTCTATATTCGTTTCGTTGGTAATCGGTGTATGAATCGAGACACATTTTCGATGTAATGTTTTTTGGCGGAATTTAGTTATAATGCTAGCAATATTTTGCCATGCACGTTGCGTTTCTAGACGTTTATCTGCTACATTCGTAGCTTTCGAATCTGGATCAAGTATACCAAGTTGCTGATAACAATGTTTAAATATGGCTTTCCATTTTTGATCTGGCGATACACATAACTTTCCAAATGACCTATAATCGGATGATAAAGATTAATTGTATATAATTGTCATTTTATCTTCCGTCCCATTTTGTATTTCATAAATCACATACATTGGTTTTGTATTGGTTTGCACATTTTCAGTAGCATTATTCATATGTAATGTTGCAATAACTTTTATACCCTCATCCCATACTCCATTCATATTTCCTTCCAATCGATCACCAGTTCGGAATGTTAATGTACCTTTTCCATAAAAGATACCAGCTGATTTGAATTCACCTTCATAGTGAGTACCATCTTCAAATACCATGATTCCATGACCCTTCAATTAGGTAGTATATGTTTTAATGTTTTTAGAAATTTATACTTTTATACATTTGACAAATATATAATTTTAAAAAAATATTCAATCTACCGTTAAAACGTCCTGCATAAAAACTCCTTCATAGTAAATACCATCTAATGTTACAATTAACCCACAACCATGTTTCATATTATTACTCCAAGATCCTAAATATTTTTCACCTACAATAATATTTAATATTTCAGTGATGACTAAAATGCTTAGACAAACATTTATTGCTGACTAACTATAAATTTCATATTCAATGTATAAATATAAAAAAAAATATTGACATATTAAAGATGAGAATAAAAAGTTTGTATCATTAATTAAAGTTATTACCATAAACTTTTTAAAATTAAAACATGTATCAAATATTATGAGATAACATCTAGTACCCTTATACCTATATTCTTTCCTATATTTGCATATATAATTGCATTATTAAAAGTTTAACGACACGAATTATTGTTTAATTTCTTAATTGTTATATATTGAGAGATAATAAATGTTTATACGATTATACCTGCTATAATATCATCCATAATTCCGTAGCCTTGCTTGACACCTGCTACCCATTCTCCAATGTAAACAGATGCTACAGATGTCATAAAATAACCTTCTGTTTTAACTCCATGACCATGTGGTAATCCATCTTTAAAATATCCTTCGTAAAAGTCTCCATTATTGTATCTAAAATATTTCAAGTTTTATTTTTAATATTCTATTAGTCACAATGTATTTTAGGGTTTTATTATAATCCACTTATTAAATAGATATTGACTTCAATGTTCCATATCCAGTTTGTTGACCATCTTTCCATTGCCCTTCATATGTACTCTGTAATGGAATTTCTAATTTTCCAGTACCATGTAAAACACCTTTATGAAACTGGCCTCTATATATGCGACCATCAGACCATTCTAATTTTCCAAAGCCATGTGGTTTTCCGTATAGCCAACGCCCTGTATACATTATGTCTCAGTTATTTTCTTAATATACATTTTTTCAGATTATAAAAATGACCAATGTATAATGTTTTGTAATTAATTTATCATTAAGATTATAAATATTTCAAACTGTAAAAGTAACAAACAATTTATGATATAACGCGGTTTAAATAATTTACGAACCAGTGTATTTTGCATCTTTGAAAATAGAGTGCTTCGTAAAACTAAAGGAACTAGAGCGTACTATTGGTAGTACATGTCCAACAACTCTATGCAAACTACATTTAATAGCATTCTGCAAAGCATGTAACCATTCATTACGCTCACAGACTGTTGGAGTATACAACACAAATGTATCTTCTGGTGTTATTATGGATATAGCATTCTGAAATAGAAATATAAAAGAATTTATGTTACAAGCTACTTATTGATGTACTAACTGAATTTAGTCAACTAAACTCATGTTGTTAGAATTTAACTTAACTTACTTGTACTGTTTCAGAATCTGATAAAGCCTCTACCCATAAAGTTTGAAGTGGATGAACTGTATGAGAAGTTCCAGTAACATGAATAAATATATCAGTTAATAAGACAAACCAATGAGTAGAAAATAATCCAGAATTAAGTATTGCTATAGGATGTGTTCGCGATTCTCTTATAAGTCTTCTATTAGGAGACCTTAAAACTTCTCCTAATTTGCCAGAATTTTCCCAGAACAATTTTGTTGCTTCAGCATCTTTTTGTAGTTTCTCTTGTTCCAAACATAATTGTTCCCATTTCACTAGAGCTTCTTGTAATCGTTCTATACCCATTCTTGTACCATTACACTTTATTAAATTTAAAATCATATTTTTGTACCTAAAAAATAAATATAAAATTTATTAATCTGTAAAGAAAAGACATTATTTATATTTATAAATATTTTATATTTACCTATTTAATTTATGTAATGGATACTGTAATGCCATAGTAGTAATAATTTCATTGGCAAATTTCTTATTTTCTGTACCTTTTAATTTGTCAACAAATAAATTTGTTATTATTCGCGGTATTTCAATTATTTTTGCGATATATGTAAATCCACTTAAAGAAATAACATCACATATTGCATTTAAGTAATATTTGTATACAGTAATGTATTCTTCAACATTAGCAATAACTACCACTTCATATGCCTCGCCAATGTGATTGAAGTAATTCCACAAACTAATAACATTTAATACACTGAAACTTAACAATTCTGTATAACATCTACACAGTGTTTCATAAACATTAGATTCTTGCGTAGCGCCACCCTTTTTTTGAAACGGTTTAATTAAATTTTGATAAATAATCAATATTTCTTCCAAAAAAATTTGATCACTTATTAAATCTTCGGATATATTTATTACAGGTTCATTTATTATTGAACAACAACTATATTCTCCAGAACTAAGAATTTGAGTTATACTGCATTCATTACTCATTTCGATATTAAGGTGAAACATGTCTCCAGTTTTACTAAAAACCATTAAAATAAATTTTTTACTACTTTAATATTATATTTATATAATATACATTTAAATTATTCACCTTGACTTTCCAATAAAATATAAACCATGATGCATCATTATTAAACTATGGAAACTACCAGCTGCTATATCTTTAGCCCTCTCGTTTGTAGACAAGTTAGTGGAAAACAATTTAGGTGCACTTTGATGAGTATCCGATTCTAATGTCACTTGTTTACTGCTATTTCTTCCCCAAGCAAAGACCCTTCCATCTAGTGTTAAGGCAAGTATGTGAAATGCACCGCATACAATTTTTCTAAGTCCAGCATTACTAAGTTTTGCAACCAAAACAGGTCGTGAGCGTTTAATGGTATCTCCTGTTCCTAGCTGTCCAAATTCAACATCACCCCATGTCCATAGTTCAGTTGACAAAATATTGCTGCCAGTACGTGTTAACATATTAATTCTTTCATTTAAGCCCTGTTGCGATAACTCATGCTCTGAAGAACCAGTACTTGATGACCATGGAAATTCTTCGCAGCGCAAACTTAGAGCCAAACTAGTGGCACCAGGACCTGAGCATTCTTCCTCTTGTTCTTTTATATGTTCATTACTGTCAATTTTTAATTCATTAATGTCTGAACTTCCACTCATATGTCTAGATAATGTAACAACTTTACCACCCACAGTTTTTACACCTTCATATACCAAACTAGCTACATTGGATACATTTTGCTTGATTAATCTTGTTGGTTTTTCGATACTTTCTAGGGGTATATCCTCTTTAACACTTCCATATGAAGAAACCCATGACAGTTGCCTAGTTAGAAACTGTCTTGCAGCTTCTGTGTTTATAAAAATAACACTTTTCTTCTCCTCTTTATCAGAATTTGTAGTATTGTTAGAACACTGTTCTCCATTTCCGCTTATCTTAGATGTATGTTCTGCTTTAGTAATTTCAGAAGGAGACACAGGATCATATTCTTTACTGGCAATTGATAAAGCACTAGTGGAAGTGCTTGAGCGGTCTTCGCTGAAATGTTGCGCATGAAGTCCAACTGGACAGGTATCCGATGATGTCACACTTGTAGGACTTATTAATACAGTATTAAGACATTGTGGGCATGAATTAACAAAAACATCTTCCACATCATTTTCACTATCAGTATCATCTTTCATAGTTTTTGGTGTTCTTCTTACAGCGACTACATTAAAATTAGAACCACACGAAACAGTGGATACAGTTCTACCTTCAAAAAATTTAACTTTTTTAGGCTCTGTGCTATTAATATCTATCTGCAACTGATTTCCAGTAGCCCAAAGTTGTCCTTCTTCTGTTACAAATAATGCTGTCTGATCATTGACAGCTATTGATTTTATTTTAAGAACTTCATTTTCTTCTCTATATCTGTAATAATACAAATGATTTTAATAAATAATAGTTTGGTTATGCGAAATTACAAAGTTATAATATTAATTTTCATATTATATAAAGGTTTCAATCTCTTACCCATGACTACAACATTTAATTTCTTTTTTCAGAATTATTATATCTATTATACTCATGTCCTGAGGATTTATTTTCAGAACATATCCGTTATTATCTACAATAAATAAATGCTCCGAATTGGATGCCACGTCAAATACATCAAATTGAGCTCTTTTGAAAATTATTGTTGGAGGACTGTTTTCCATAAATGATACTTCTCCATGATATAAGTTGTTTGAGGTAGTCATTACAAAAATACGATCTTTGATAGTAACCAATTTGCAAATAATGCCATTTGGCTTATCACCAAAAGTGTATGATACTTTATCAACACCTTTCCATAAGTGCATATATTCCTGCATTTTATGAAATGTTTGATATACCAGTTTTTATAACCTATGAGTATTTTATGAGATAGTACTTTTAGCCAACAATGTTTTTGTCATGTAATTTGTGATTGGATTTGTTTCAGTGAACTTTTCTGTAATAATACTTGAGAGAATTTACATGCCAACATGATTAAATAAATGATTTCCTTATTACAGTCTTAGTTGTGTGACATTATCCCAAGTCTCAAAGTAATTTCTGACACCTGACAATCAATATCTACTGTCATATAATTTCTTTATCTACATATTTATAATACATAGTGAATGCAAATAAAGTAAATTATTTCAACGAGACTGACTGAATGCCGTCGCATGCTATAGTCACCAGCATTCACCTTATTGCAATGCAACTTTCATTTTTACTCATTTTTAAGCGCGGTGAAGTAAGAACAAGTTCTACAAGTATAGCGACTTATTAGAAAGTTTCCCCTATATTTTGAATTAAAAAATGTTGGCTTTTATTTATTTTTAAAATTTTGAAACTTTTATGAATAATATGTTACAATTTTTTATACAAATTTGAAAAATTAAATAAATTATAAATAAGTTTTATATTACATGTGAATATATTAAACCTATTAATCACGTTTTTATTTATGAAAATTGGTAGCACGTATTTTCGTTGCATTGAAATATGCCTGAAAGTTTTATCAATCAGAAGCGAATGAACTGAATTCTCTGCACCAATCCGGAGCTCCCACGATCCGACAGCGAACAGATACCGACGGACACCGATGTTTGTTGTAACGTCTGCTAGGATGGCAGCGATAAAATTAATTTTATCGTTATTTATAAATTTAAGTATATATGTTGTTCTAACTGTAGGAGGGTAAGTAATATAGTTCATTATTATTTTGTAATTTATTCATTGCATAGCTAAAAAATATTTATCTTACAAAAGTTTTACAACCTCCTTTTCTATAAACCTCTTGTTTAATAAACTAATGAGACAGTGGTAAAATAAATGCTAATAATTTGTCTAAATGTAATTTCTCTGAAATACTTTGAAATATGTTTTCTTTTATATCTAATTTATATAATATTTTATTACTACCGTATTATATTCCTTTTGAAAATTCTAATTTGTGTTAGGAATTAATTCTTTAATTATTCTTAACTTGCAGTTAATTATGATGAATATAAAGAATATATTATTTTCAGGAGAGATTTTTATGCCATTTTAGGCGTACCATCAACAGCAAGTCAACACACAATAAAAAAGGCATACAGGAAACTAGCAAAAGAATTGCATCCTGATAAGAATAAAGATGATGCAAACGCTTCACAAAAGTTTCAAGATTTAGGTGCAGCTTATGAAGTTCTCTCGGATAATGAGAAAAGAGAAATGTATGATAAATGTGGAGAAGAATGCTTAAAAAAAGATGGCATGATGAACAATGCTGATCCCTTTGCAAGTTTTTTTGGAGATTTTAGTTTTCATTTTGGTGGGGAATCTCAACATCAACATGAAACACCAAAAGGTTCTAATGTTCTAATGGATTTAGTTGTTACCTTAGAAGAATTATATAGTAGAAATTTTATAGAGGTAAGATTTAATATAGAATGAAAAAGATTTATATACTTCAATAAATATATCTTTATTTTCAGATAACTAGAAATAAGCCTGTCATGAAAACAGCTAAGGGAACAAGGAAGTGTAATTGTAGGCCGGAATTTGTTACTCGTAATTTAGGAAATGGAAGATTTCAAATGATGCAACAATTAGTGTGTTCAGAGTGTCCAAATGTTAAATTTGTTACTGAAGAAAGAACTTTAGAAGTGGAAATAGAACCTGGTATGATAGATGGACAAGAAACGAAATTTACAGCAGAAGGAGAACCACATTTGGATGGAGAACCTGGAGATTTAATACTGAAGATACGAACTAAGCCACATCCAGTTTTCGAGAGAATTGGTGATGATCTTTTCACAAATGTTACTATATCAATGCAAGATGCTCTTATAGGTTTTAAAATGGATATAGAACATTTGGATGGTCACAAAGTGACTATTCAAAGGGATAAGATTACTAAACCAGGAGCTCGTATTCTGAAGAAAGGAGAAGGAATGCCTAATTATGACAATAATAACCTCCATGGTTCTTTATACATCACTTTTGATATTGCATTCCCTGAAACAGAATTTACAAGTGAACAAAAAGAAGGTAAGCACATTTTGTTTATAGTTTTATATAATTTTATGATATATTATTACTTTCTATCTATTTCAGAAATAAAAAATTTATTCCAACAAAACTCTGTAAGTCGAATTTATAATGGAATAAGAGGAAACTAAGATTTTTAAGAACAATGTATAGACAAGGTGATATAAAATGTGCATATAATTGAAGTGCATGTGTTGACTTTGTATGTTTCTATACCAAGTGGTGTTTTTGCTTCCTTCAAATACTGTGGTACCAACAGGCTTGGTAGCCAATTATTAGGTTGGTTAAGTTAAATGCATGTAGCATAACAATATACTTAATAGCATAACATAGTACTTGATCTGTGTTGAGTACATATACTTCCTGTCTCATTGTAAAAAGGTGATAAATTTGCTATTGCCAATAATTTATATTAATGCCAACAATATCTGAATTACATTATTTAAAATAAGTTATTTTATGTTCAATACGTATGAGTGATGTATGAGTGTCTTATAAGAGCAAAAGTATTGCATTTAAATAGGGAAAGAGATGCAGTAGTCCAATAATAATATTGGACTCGGTACGACAATTTTTTTATCAGCATTATAGGTAATGAAATGTAAACCACAATGCATTGTCAATAACAAGTAATTACTTGTTAAGTTATTTAACTTGCATTTAAGATTTTTATTAAAAAGGTGTTTACATTATATTAAATATTTCTCTTACTTTACAAAAGTGTCTGTAACGTAATTCTATGTCTTCTTTTCAAGAGTTTAGGTTATAATTCCTTCATTCAGTACAACATACTTGTAATTCTTTGTTATTCTTTCATAAGTAACTTTTTTATTATACTCATTCAAATGAGGACCTAAAACCACTTATAATTTGTATATTACTGTCATATTTCTAATTATATAAGAAATTAGAGTTTATATATATATAAGAAATTAAAAATATTTATATTCTTATAATCATATTACAAAGTAATAGAAAAATGTTTTCTAATGAATGATTTTAGTTGTATGTATTTGTATGATAAAATCATTTAAATATTAAATTCTAATATTATTTAAATTGATCAACAATGGAAGGTTATTTGAAACTGATACAAAATATTTATAAAAAATGTCCTACGAGTCCATGTCTATTTTGTCTCCATAGCACGAAAAATTGGTAGTTATGTAATTTTGAAATGTAATGTAGCTTAGTATTAATGTCTATGACAAACATAATCAAAGATGTTAACTTATATAGACATAACAATTGTTTGAGAAAATAACGTGTACGAGAGAGCGTTCTAAGAACATTAGGTTTGCTAGAGACAATGTATCTGTGATGTAAATATCTTATTTGATGTAATTTGTGGTGTCATTTATATATGCAGTGAAATGTAATAATACTTTTTTATTTTGTTTTTGTTTTTAAAGACAGATTAAAATATTTAAACATTTTAAGATTTCTCACTTTTAATTAAAAATTGTTTAGACATGGTGTCATAGGATATTTTTTGCTTCATTCAAGCTCATCTCATACCCATGTAAATATTCCAGTAACGCATATCTGAGATGTTATGTGTTTAAAATTGACATCAATTCAATATTTTATAATAATTAACGAAAATCATATTGCTATTTCCATGAATTTAAGAAAAAATGTTAGACGAAATAGACTGATTTGCAGTATAGCAATTTTGTTATTAGGATTTATGTTTATGGAAGCTACTACATAATAAAATTTTAAAGTAAATATCGTTTTTAATATTGTAACATAAACATTAGAAGCACTATTCCCTTATCATAGCAAGAACATTAAATACGTACATGTATGTAAATATATTAAACAAGGAAATTCTGTAAATCATATTATTTATTAATTAATAAATAATTACATTAATATCTCAAAATTTAGGCAATATTAGGCTTGTATTGGATTCAGTACAAGTTTATCCATGGTACTCTTAACAAATCCAGCGCCATACTTATCCAATTTTATAATATAAAAAAAGAACGCATATGGTTCAAATTAAGTCGATGTATCTATAAAATTTACAGTGTAATTTTATTTACAGTGTAAATACAGAGTATTCGACCAAATATGATCATTTCACGAAGATATTATTTCTGTCGTCATTAATAAAGAATAATTTTTGGCTTTCAATTCTTCATATGAATAATGATCAAGTATCAATTGAGATATTGATCATTGAATTTCGATTAAATTTTTTATCCTATAACTAGACTGCGGATTTTCCTGCAAATTTATGTTTTCATAGCCTGAAGTAATCGAGGTAGAATACAATTATGTGTATTTCCTATATTAAATATAATATTTTCCATAAATGAAAAATAATACGAACAATAATATACAATTTTTGTTAACCAGTTAACTGTAGAATTTAATTTTAAAAATCTCTCATGGGGTGTGTGATAAAATCAATCAATCACTAATATACACACACGTCGAACGTAGAACGAATGCACCTAATATGTATTCAAATGAACAACTAAAGTAGTACGAAAAAGAATGACATGTTTATTTGAAGGAATAAATAATTAATTGTTGAAAGAATTAGTATTATTTTGGATTTTAAGTTTACGGGTATACTCGTTAAATGCAGTTAACTGGCTAAGGTAGATCTTTCTAAGGTATAAATGCGTAGATATCCGCAGTCTATCCATAATTGTACTATGTCAGCATTTCCTACGATGTGCCCTGTACATAAAACTTTCGCTGTATGTGAGCACACGCAATTAACCCTCGGGCCCCGGTTCCATGCATTTTTCATTCCGTTGACCATATTACATTCGATTTACAGTAGGCCCGCCGTATCCGCGGAGGATTCATTTCAAGACCTCCCGCGGACACTGAAATTCATGAATAGCAAGGAACCCTATTTCATACATACATGCACACATCACTCATATATGCATAGTCATACCTTTCTTTTCCTACATTTACTTTATTTATTACATAGGGTTGTACATGAGGTTTGAATTCATTTAATTGCTAGTTTTATTATAATATAATTTTATTAGTTTATTACACGTACATAAAGTGTTAAAATATAAGAAGAGAAAGAAGAAGGTTCTCGATTCTTTCTGGAACATTTTGTTTCAGAGATTAGCTTGAAACCGCGGATACTGAATCAGCGTATGCGGCGGACCAAATGCCTCTAAAAATGTTTGCAATTAACTGGAGCACCACTTTGAGCATTTATGAAATTAAATAACAGTATTCGCATTGACCATTAAAAATGAATATGTTGCAGTCATAGTTTTTCAAATGCACCCAAGAATGCGTGAAGGTAAATGTTGTTCACTTTAAGCACTTGTTAAATTAAATAAAACTATTGATTATTAAAAATTAACACGTTATAGTCGTTCCCTTGAACCATCTTCGTTTTCTGTCGATTGCCAAGAATGTCAGCGTATCGCTAATGTCAACAAAATGAAGGCGTTCAAATATGTGTACATCGAAGTCAGAATTCTATTACAAACAATTCAAACCGTTGGAATCTTTGATACGTGTAAGGTTTTGAAAAATGTTTCAAGCGAATGTTATTCAGTTGTGGGACTATATAAATATATCAAATATATAGAATATATTTATATAGTATAATATAAATAGTAAAATATATTTATATATTTATATAATAATTTACACCGCATTTCAATTAACAAATTGAAGTAATTTTCTGTCTCCCACGCATGAAGTAGAATTAGATTTTTTGTTGGCGTTCTACAAAAGGCCCTTTGTACGATAAAGTTAAAAAGAATGATCTTGACACCCTTAACAGGTTCCTGGACACCGACTTACGTAACAAGATTGAAGAAGTGTCTTGTATAATGTCCAGGAAAAGTAATAAAGCTATACAACACAGTCGTTAGGGCGTAAGAGTATGGTTTAGCGTTTATTCTCGATTTGAGGACCGACGATCGTTCGGACGTGTAAAATCGTGTGAAACTGCGCTGCTTGTTCTTCTATCCTGAGCCCTGTCGCTATATTATCCTAACTAGACAAAGAATTCTGCGACCCGTGACTTCTTAATATAGCATAAGGTACCAATCAAGGGAAACACACAAAACAAAAATAATGCTTTTGTTAATGTCACACATGGGTAATAAGGTGGTAGTTTCGTAGCCTTGAGTTGTCCCGAGATTCTGAACCCTCAATGGGAGGACAAGCGAGGAAAATCGGTTACACACCCATTTTTCCCGCGTTAAGCAGAGATTGAAAAGGTTTCAAAAATAATTGTTTGAAACTGTTATATATTGGTTTCGACAGAAACGGTTATGGAGAACCAAAATAAAGTCATAACTGTTATTAATAATTGCTCTGAAAGAAATGCAGAACCAAAATTGATATAACTCAGAACCGTTGCAGCTAGTAGTTATGACTCTATTTCGGTTCTCCATAACTGTTTCAAGAACCGGAACCCATATTATAACTGTTTTCAACCTCTATCGTTCAGCTACGCTCGTCAAAAAATGTACATTGGCTAATTAGTGTCCTCAGGATTTACTTCAAGTGACATCTTCTTTGAGAACACTGATTGAACACCTTGACGACTAAGAGTCAGTTTCGCAACGACATTTAAACGAGTAACATCAACAGTTCCCCAGTGATGTATAAACGAGTGATATTGGCAGTTCCACACTAACCTTCAAACGAGAGACATCGATATTAAAAAATCATTCTGGATATTTAATATAGTATCGCATTGCATTCGCGTTCACAATCATCCAAACGCTCTCTATGCCCGGGTTTCCGAGGGGTTAAATGACGGTTGCTAGCGTCGTGTTAACGATAATGTTCAATTTGTTGCGTATGTGGTGTCACGAAGCATCCCGCGTTCTTAAAGTAAAAATCTTATCACAGTGTGACTCAACTTATATACAGTATACCTACGACCGAAGACGTTAAAGCCACGATTGACTCCGGTAGGCAGCGAGACGCATGAATCCTATAGGCAATAACAGTACAGCCTCATATTGAACTCATCGACGCAGGCGCTCTGTTTCCCGTACGCGTTCAACCTGCTGACTGACCCGACCAATTTGTCCGTGGTATTATCCTTGACTCTGTTACGCACCGTCCCCTCGAATATTGCGTCGCCAGGCTCCGTTTGAATTGTAATCGTGTAATCGATAAGATCGGACTTCTCGCCATTGTCCTTCCACGCCTTCGCGGCTCTGATCTCCTTTAGCTTTAGGACCGCGCACTGCGCGAACTTCTTCAGCATCTGGTTCAGCTCTTTCACTAGGAATACAGCCTTATCCTGTAGGTGTTGGTCCGTCAAGGACACGTCGGTGCTACTGTGGCACATGCACCAGTGACTGGCTATGCCAGCCATGCCGCACGTCCGGTAGTCTGGGATTGGCAGGAACCAACTGATCCCGCGAGGCAAATTCGTCGTTGACGATAACACTCTGAAACGGTCCTTGAGGATCGGCTCAGCCAGGTTCTTGGACTCCATCAAGTCGAATAGAGTTTTGTGCAGGTCGAAACCCGTGGTCAAGCTACGCGAGTTCTTGCGTAGATTGGCCCAGGCAATCTGATACTTGTCTTTCCACCAGTTTGGCAGCACTATGAACAAAAATGGGAGGCTGTCCTCCATCCTACCTTGATAGGTCTCGCGAAAGTCGCCCCATCTCATCCCGTGATCGCTCATCACTATCAGCGCCGTGCGGTTGAGCAACTGCTCCTCGGACAGGTACTTGATCAAATCGTGATAGGAGTCGTCGCCTAGTTGCGGGTAATTGAAGTAATCGTGAGTCAAGCTAGCTTGCCAGAAGAATCCGAAGTACGGTTCCTTGGTGAACTGCGACGCTGTTTTCTGACTGTAATGTAGCAAATTGTCGAACGTCTTCCTCGTGCCGACGCAAAGGTTCGCGTTCAGTTTGTGTGTGTTACCGATGTCTTTCTCCGAGGCGATACAGAAAGGTCTTAGGTAATAGTCGGTCGGTTGCTCGCGGAATCCCGGTTTCAGGTAATTGAATGTAGTCATAGCACACGCGTCCTCGCCAAAAATCGTTCGATATCCGGCCGCGCTGAAGTTCTTCCAAATGAATGGACACTCGTCGAAGGTTTTGTTCTTCCTCTGCCAGCATACGTCGTGCAGCTCGCCCTCTGACAGACCGCTTAAAACAGGTACTAGATTTGGATACGTGTTGTCGGCCACCTTCGTGTAGCCCAACATCTCTACGGCCCCGAGCTTCTGTAAAGCTTCGACGGTTTTTGGCATCATTCTGTGGAAGTTTAGTCTGGAGACCGAGTCCAGACCGATCACCAGTACACTGAGCTTTTCAGATCTCGAATTCACGAACTTCGGGTTTTGATACTTTTGCTCCACTGAGCGGAAACGGGGCAGGAACACGTGGTAATCTTTGTATATCACTTCCTTGTCACGGGAACACTCGATTTTTACGAATTCAGCTTTGACGGCCGCTGAATTTTTGAAGCTGAAACACTCACTGCCGAATCTGCAAGTAGAAAATACTTTATGTTTGAAGTGGAACGCGTTAGATTTGTACCTAGTCAACGATGTTCAGGTGTATACAATGAATGCCATTTAAAATTGTATATCTTATTACGAGCTAGATTTTTCTTCATAAATTTGTTCTCATCATCAACACAAAATTCACTTAGGTAGAAATTACTTTGCTGACTCTTTATTCAATTAATTACAAATAGCTTTTAGTTTTAAACATTTCGCAGCCATCTTAGAATTTCCTATCTTTGCCTCGAAGATGGATTAAAAGTATTGAAAGCTATGGCGAATATTTAGAAGATTGAAACATTAATGATTTTCTTTTTGTTGAGCTTTTGTCTAACGTTCGTAAGTAAGAATTTACGCATTAATATTAATACGTTCGTGGTGAAATTATTCTGACCTTGACTACGTAGTAAAACCAATTTGCAAATAAATCTATTTTACCTAATAACATATACGATACTGAATGACACCACGTAGATCCTTCATTGCGAGCAGATATCGAATTCATGAGATACCTTTATGACGCATTGGAAGTTTTGAACGATTATTTCGCAAACGGTAGGTATTGTTACAAGGTGAAAATGATGAGTCTTACTGACGTAATAATATTATCCTCGTCTTTCATTCTCCAGAAAGGTCGCCAACAGCAGTCAAGATCCTCGGATTTGTTGTAAAAATGTTGTATCGCCTCTGGATTTACGAACACCGCGGTATTGTTCGAGTCCACGAGTGGCAGGTGATCCCCGTGTTCGCAAGAGATCGGCTTCTCTTTGTGGATGAAACGTGTGATGGCTGGATCGAACGGGTCCATCGCTGGGATACGACAACCTTGATTGTGCACCACGAACCCGGAATTGACCACGGGCGCGAAGAAAGGCTTGAATTCTATGTAGTTTTCTAAAAAGAAAAAAAGAAAACAGTATCAGTAAATACAGCGTCGGATTTCGGTGAAGAAACTTACAAGTTATTTCTGGATTTTCCATAATACCAGGTCATTCTGTAAGTAACGTGTTTGCAGTAACTTTTTTAACGGTATTTTGTTGACGCTATCTGTCGAAGGTTTGAATCATTACATAAGATTGATCGGGCATAAGTACCTTGGGAACTGACATTGAGAACGTTTCCGAAGCGCACAGTTCGAAATTGATCCGTTGTGTAGGTGTTTATTATGACCAACGATGTCAGCAGGAAGACCAGGACGCCTATTAACCATCTTCGCGGTCGCAGTCGACTCTTGTATATCTTACTGTCGAACTCGAAGTTGAAAAGGCTGCCCTCATTATTTAGGACCTTGTCGCCGCCGCGAAACAGAACCTAGGCGCAGAAGAGTAGCTTCAGTAAATCAATTAATTTTATGAAATCGCGTTGAAATCAAGTTTTCTTTATTAACTGTACTTAGATTGGAATCTATAATTAATCAGAATATTACTGGAATCAGAAATAACAAATTTAGTGAAGTTTTTGACGTGGCTGAATTATTACTTTTCAACGTATTTGAACATCCTATTCGCTTTAAAAATTAAATTTTCATATTTCCATAAATTTGCAAACAATGAAACATTTTTTTAAAGGAAAATATTTTAATAGCATCATTTTTTAACATGTTATTTAAATAAATTATGTTTTCTTCCGTTAACATATTCTTTACTTGTGTTATTTTGTTTCGAACTGTTCGCGTAGATCAATTTGCCTTTTAAAATTATACTATTTGGCAATTAAAATTTTTGCTTAAATATTAATAGATTCCAAAGTGTTCGAAAAAAATAGGTTTCCTATCTCGAAATTCATGAGCTGTGTTCACTATATGAAACATTTTTCCTTTTCGAAGGACAAGAATTTAAGAAGTACACGTAGTGTATCATGTATTTCTAACTTTTTGCAAATTGGAGCTAAAATATTCACCTCATTCCATTTGTTTACTTCATTAACTGAAATTCAAATCGCGTACAGAAAATTTTCTTCGGCGATCAAATTTGAAATATTATAGCTCTTGTGTTGATTTGAAAATGTATTTCAATTGCAATTACTTTAAGTTACGAATGAAGTTTATACAAAAATTAAAAAGTTTTAAACAAAACTCCAGAACAAGATCTCAAATTGATAAGAAAGAAAAATAACAGATCTGAAGAACAAAAACAAAGAAAACAGCGGTATATTTTGCAAGCTATAAATGATTACAAACAGTTTTATCTAAACGTAAATAATCCCATTGTATGTAATCTAAATGTAAATATGTAACATATTTTGCAGGTAGTAAATTATTCTCATTATCATTTGTTTATACGACTTTCCCCTCTAATCCTATCGTAAGTCTATTGGTTCAAATTCAAAGGTATTGAGCAAATCGTCAAGAGACGTTGACGTATTATATTATTATTATGCCGGTGACGAGTTTCCATTATCGAAGCAATCGCGGGGTATTGTAACATAAATATATATATAAAAAAGAAACTCTAAAACTTTAACAGTTAAGGCTTAACTGTTTAAAGACTATGCATATGTATACACGTTTTCAATGTTGCGTCAGATTTTCGGTATTCCTTATTGACATGGGCATTCTTTATCAATTGAGTTATCAGAAAATCGAGTATACTCATATCTACTAAATGCATTAACAAACAAATGATTTGATAGAAATTGAGTTATAGATTTTTGTGAAACAATTCATCCCTCAAATGTTTAAAAATTTATACTAGATGCAATATGAAATACGAGAGATAGTGCTGGGAGATACAAACAGGGTGGAAATAGTGAAAATATTATGAGAAGCACATTAAAGTCTATGAAACCTTAGGGCTCTATATCCACGTGAGTAAAGAATAAAAATTATTCCTTATCTAAATAAGCCCGATTTGTTGATGTTAATGTTAGCGTTCCTCCAATAGAATAGAATAGCTTTTAATAGAAAGTGGTAACATTCTTGAGATTTTCAATTAAAGCTTACAATTGATTGAATGATAGAATACAAAAACCAAATCATTTGATATTCTTTTTTTAATAACACAAACGTTACCCGAGTGTAGATTAGTAATCAATATAATACAATCGCTGTTCCACTTCAAAGCGAGGTACAAATTATCAAAAATTGAATATATCCGCCAACTGCGATAAAAAAAGTTGAATAAGCGACATATGATAACATAATTTGTTATGTAAAAATTATTATATTAAAAGTATTTTAATCATGTCAGAAATTCGTTAAACACAATTTACGTTTGTTTATAATTAATATATGTGTATTATTGTCTATTGTCTTTTATTCTATTGAATAACTAGTAACTGTGATACATGTATGCAACTTAGTTTTCATAGATGACAGACGTTACCATATTGTATATTACTGTATAAAATTGACTACACGTTTAATTTCGAGTTCATTACAGATTATTATCCCTGAAAAATATATTAAAATCCAACAACATTTGGAATATAGTCATTTAAACATAGTTTCAGTAGTAATTGCTTGCTATTAATGCGTTTGATGAAGGTATAAAAAATATATGATCCGCAAGGCAATTTTAACTCGTAATTTCAAAATATAAAATCCAAAGACCACTAAGAAACGAACATGGTATCACTGAATTAATTACACCCCCGTAATTTTACTTACACTTGACAGTTTACGAGCACATCGCGTTTCCTAGTGCTTCTCACCCTTCAAAATAGCTTACCACTAATCCCTTACAGTAAATTTCTTTTTCTGCATTTCATGTATTGCACTATAAACGACACGAATAAAATGAAGCCCGCAGATCGAGGAAGAAAGGGGAAAACACAATGTTAACTCACCTTCTCTTGAGAGTAATTATCGCACATGCCAGTGATACCTTCCTCGTTAACCAGTGGCCAGAGATTGAAAGATGCAAGGTACACAAGTATGTACATTTCCAACTCAAGTTGTTATCAGCATTTCGTGGGGGACTGATTCCGTGGATTGTACAAATAAATGACCGCACCGTGCGCGATTTTGACGAACTGCAACATGTCAAGCAAACAGTGCTATCGGCTTAGGCGTTTAATTGTTGACTCGTGAATTTTCATATCTCGATACCCTCTCCTGGACGTCACAGCAACGCGGAACAGTTTCTGGCTCACTAGGGCTCTCGTTCGATTCCGTTTTCCGTGTTCTCACGATCGACTTTCATGGAAGGCGTCGTATAGTGGGCCATTTGACCCGAAAAGCTGGCCAAAACTATTATAGCGTTATTTAAAGTTCAAAGATGGTCATGTAGCACATTGATGGATTCATTTAGACATAAGCTACAATACCATAACGATCAAAATTGAATCTCCTTAAACAGCTGTCAAGGTCGCGTTTTTCGGAATTTTATGTATTGCAACTTATAGATGATTGAATTCAATCATTGATCGAATCAAGCACTTTGATTTTCTCGAGTATGACTTTAAAAATATACGGATGCGTCTTTAAAGTGACGTACTTTTTATATATGTAGAACAAACTGATTTTTTTGACCCGTTACACTAGAATGCCCCTTTAAATTATGAGAAAAAAGTTTTGGTTTATTATGTGCTTACTTTACATACCTTCTATTACCACCCACATGTGTCTTTTCTGCACTTTTTCATCAGTGCACTTAGAAAAATTCACTTTTTCGGTATGAATATTTTAGTCTTTCCCTCAAGCGCAAGAATCGATCATTATCAAGCATAACATATTTTACTAAATATTGCTGTTTAAAAAAAAACAATGTCACAGTTTGCTTTTAGAACTATTGAAGAATACAGGGACAAAATGTTATTCATTTTAGTTGAAAGTAAAATCTGACCTTTTGGCCAGCTTTGCAGGGCAAATGCCCCACTGTACGCCGCTCCGAAACGAAGGGCGGAAACGTTTCGACGCACTGCCGGCTGATAGGGACAATCTGCGAAATTGGCCAACACGGTTCACCGCGTCAGAACCGTTCCCGCGACGAATTTCTCGCAACCAGGTTTCGTTCCGCGACGAACCAACGATAATCTCGACACTATTCCAGGGGATGTCGACTGGAGGCAAACACGTGATCGTCACATCTGATGTTTTTCCGTGAATGTTTTGCTCAGATTTCCTTCGTGTCGCGCTCCCGCCCCGTCTTTGCGCCCGTTCTTATGTAAGCCACGCGACTTTTGCTTTTGAAACGAGCTGTTCTGCTCGCGAGATCGATATTTTGTCGACCGGATTTACTGTTCCGCATCTCTCGAGCGGACGGCGAAACCTTTCCCCGGAAAATCGGATTCCAATCACCTTACAGAAAAGATTTTCCCGTTAGAAGTGAAATTACATGTTCGCCAGGGTCGCGATCGAGACCCGGGTACCCTTTTAGGTTGCAGTACGGCCCGGCTCGTCGCGCGCTTCGATTCGGCACCGTTCGACGACAGGAAGGCAGCAATTTCGTGCACTTGGACACAATTGAACCATTCGTTTGGCGCATTTTACCGTAGAAGCGGCTCGAGCGAAGTTTCTCCAGCGGCCGCGGTAACACTCGCCGCTCGAACTTGACACCCCGTTTCTGGGCCGCGGGGCAGGTTAGATTTGACGCATCTCCGCGTCATCAGCTTTGTTGTCTGCCGGCCTCGCGGCGTTCCGAGGAAAATTGGGCGCGGCGATTCACGGACTAACGGGATTTTGGGAATAGCACGATGATGTGCACGAACAAACATCACTATTATCACGTATCACATTATTACAGAATTACACTGCGCGATTCGCCGTGTCCGATAGTCGCTGCTGCGTCACGAGAAGTTTTAACGTGGAATCTCGGGGGAGAATCGGAAAACTGCAGATTCGATTCTTTCCGTTGAAGAGGCGACCGATAAGCCTGCCGGGCACGCGTTTGGACCGGAAGCTTGGGACCCGGCGAAATATTATCGGGCTGTCCAGCGTCCTCTTTCTCATGCTCGCCGGTCAGCCACGTGGTGCCCGGACATTTTCGATCCTCGGAAGACGTTCGAGGCGTAGTCGCAGCCGGGAATCAAGTGAAACATATTGCTGCTCGCCGGTAGCAAGGAAACGAGAGGAGAGGACGTGAATCTGGTCGATAGGCGCGCGCTCGCGCACCTCCACGGCGTCTCGTGGGAGTTAAATGCAATTGGCGTTCTCCTCTCGCCTGTGGTCCAGAATCGAAACATCAATTATCGCTGATCAACGCTCTTCGATGTTGTTTCGACAGGTTTTTTAATAATGAGCATTATCTTATGTAACTTCATTATCAGACATCGTGCGCATTATCACGAGCTGTGTATCACTCTTGGGTAATTTCGCGTGTTCGGTTCCCATAATCGTGTTTGAATTAGTCGATTTCGGTGAAGATTTGGAGGGACTTTGATGAACTTAACACTTTGAATGCTGCACAATTTCACGTAGCAAAATGCACAAAATGAAAACAATGTAATATCAAATTATTTTAATTGCAACCGCATTAGATAGCACTATTTACAATATAAAAATATTTCCAGATAATGATCGTTCAATTGACTGAATTATAATAATTCGATTTAGTCACTGGTGACCCTCACAGCATTCAACGTGTTACACATCGATTCGGTTGTTTGGCATATTGTTAATTTTTTAATGTTTTAAGGGTCGATGGAGTCGAGTAGATTTTTGTACACTGGATGGGAAACCTGGTTTTCTGTACCTATTTATTTTATTTTCTGGAAAATTGAATGTTAAGGAAAGGGGAGCGTATTTTTTATTCTAGAAATTTGCGTGTTGAGCATGGAAGCGATAGAAACGTTTCTTGAAGAAAATGATTATGTATAAATGATTATGTTCAGCAAGTGGCCCGCGCGGGCCGAATCTATGTGTCCGTGGGCCATATCGTGTCCGCGAGCAATCGGCTGTGCGTGTGACTAATTGTAAGTAAATACTTAAATACATACATAGTATGCAGTTGCGAGTGCTTAACTACTCGCGGCCAATCGCTTGGCACAAATATATCCCACTAGCATAAGTCCATTTCTCCCATTCAGCAGTCAGCTGCCCATGTCTGTGTTTCCACTACTGACGCGAAAAGGCCCGATAAACAGCTCTGATGTATAATTTTTCGAATGAAATGATACAAGTTTTTGTATTATTATAAAGATTTGGATTAATTTAACACTAAACTTATTGTTATATTGTAACGACACTGACATTTTCATTATCACTACACCAAGTTATAATTCATATTAAACAAGTCAAAAGTCGCCAACCTATGAGTGACATTTAGTTTATGAATTTGTAATTCATTCATGAATGAAGTAACTTTGACAATTTGGTTGCAATAATATGAAATTGAGAAAAAGAATTTCAGTCATTTTAACGTGTACATGGACATTCATAGGTATTTACAAACCTTAAACTTAAGGACAAAAGCTCGGAAAATGTGCATTTCTTTGCAATGAACAAGATGAAGAAAAACAGATTGTCGTAAAACAATTTTTGTTCCCACCTTTTTAATACATTGAATGCCATGGAGATCACCGGTGTGACAAATCGAATTACTATAGTTCATTCAATTAAACAATGACTATTTGGAAACATTTCTATATTATAAATAATACTGGCTTATGCGGTGACATTCAGCCAGATGAACGTGCAATAATAACAATGCAATTTAATCAAATGATTTAGTATTGTATTTTTTTCATTTTGTGTATTTTGCTCTATGAAATCGAACGGCATTCAACGTGTTAATAACTTTCTGAGACTTATTTGTTTACTCCTGAATTAGAAATGTATTTTGCACATGTATAACAATGCAACAGTTATGTTTTCACAAAATAAATCGTAAAAAGATAATTATATGCCACCCTTTAAGTTGCCACCAATTTCGTTTCCTATCGTCACATCTCGAAGAGTCGTCTTGCTGCTCGAACTCGATCGCTCGTAGGTAGCCTGCCATTTCGTCAGAGCTGCACCTTATCAATGTCCAACAATAGATAAAAAAAAACATACCGAAATTATTTCAAGGCCGAATTAATTAACTGATATTCATGTCGAGCGAAAACATTGGAAACAAATGAACAGTGATTCAAGTTCACTTTAGGTAATCTTATCGTAGGTCGATAACTTTGTTCTTTCATCCATTACAAAGTATATTAAGAAGATTATTCAGTGCCACTTAAAAAAACACAAGGTTACATTTATACTTCATAAAACTTAAAACGAAACAATAATTACCGATTTATTTTTAAAACAACGAAATTTACCTGTTTACTCGTCGAACTTTATTGTATACAATATAATTTCGTATGAATCATTTTTTCATGAAGACTATGTCAACTAACAATTTATGTCTAACTGACTGCCTTCAAGTTAAATATTAGAATAATTATATTTTTCGTGATTCTATGTAGATGTATACCGCCGTATAAAAATTTGAAACCAACCATATTTTTTAATTGAACAATATGTTGTAATAATTATAAACAGGATATTTTGATCATTCTTAAGAAATATGTTTCTTTCAAAAAATCAGTTGTCTTCTTATATCTTTAGGATAATTTTATAGTGGAACTTTTGATACAGTAAAATGTTGATTGTTTAAATATTCCATTCGAATGTTTCCAATCTTTTGGACGATAATGTTTGTTGTAGGATGTGTCATTCAACGCGTGAGAGGGAGAGTACACTCTGATGTGCAACAATGTTATCATTTTATTCTTCTCCGTATTTGACAGTTTCCAATAGCAAACACGTAAAACGATCGAAAAATAATATTCTATCCATTTTACTTAATGTAGTAAATGTACACATCAAACACTTAGTGCGATATAATTCTTTACTTAAATGTCAACTATACACATATTAAAAATTAAGTATGTATTTAAAAATTTATATCGTTTACAGGTGTCCCACGAGACATATGTTTAAACAAAGGTAATCAGAAAGGTAAAGTTTACAAATGATAAACGTTCATAGAAACGTAAAAAATGATATGATATCAGTGTTTCCAACAATCGCGATTCCGTGAATTTGGAAAGTAGGTTTGAAAAAATTAACGAATCGTTCTTGCAATGGTGTAGGGGGGACTGGTTCCTGATGTTGATTTCGATGTTGTTTTTAATTAAACTCATAAAAATTTAATTTTAAAAGAAGTGTTTTGCCTTAATTATAACCCTGCAGACATATTATAAAGTTTTATAAAAAATAAGGTTCCAGGATTTACGACTTGAGTTTTCAATAGTCAATATTAATACAATAGAAATATCAAACCATATAAAAGTAAGGGATTTATCGTCAATATTCAAATAGGTGGTCTCTTTGTTAAAGCATCTACAATAGTATTTTTCGATTCTTAATTTTCAATGAAACATCCTTTATACTGGAAAATTTTAACAGTTTTTTTCTCTCAATATTATTTTTCCCGGTTACTTTTTTAACTGTACGTCTTTCAAAATAAGAGGACGCTGCTCTGAACCTTAGATTTCAAAGTCGGTAAATTGAATAAGGCATTAAAGAAGTATTAATTTTTCTTATTATTAAGTTTTCAGTTTTATTGCCTTAGATTATTTCTATATAGAAATAGAATAATTAGAATAATAATTTTTATTTTTGTGCTTGTTCAATTTTTCAGTAAATTTTTGTAAGTTTATCCTTGCATGGTACAATATCGACTGCACTTAATACTTTATGAAATCTTAACAACGACAATTGAAAATTAAATACTGAAGATCTACTTAAATTTCTGATATATTATTATAAAATGTTTTTAATTATAGCGAGTTAATTTTAAAGTATATTTTAATTTCATATTAAAGGATATAATGCTGAATATTCATTTGTAATATAGTAAAAATATGTTACGCGATACCAAATTATTAGTTCTAATTAGCAAAGTAAAAAAAGTTAAGGTTAATTAATTATCAATTTCAAAATAGGAGTTCTTTTTCAACAAGAAAATGATATTTTTTAATTGATAGTAAAAATGAACAGTACAATTAATGATGAGGAATCTCATGGTATAATACCGAGTGTATAGAAAGTGAGAACGTATTACTGGAGATTCGTACAGATGGCACTGTATGTTTCCAATTGTGGCTATATTGCTGTGCCATAGGCCTATTTTTACATTCCTTGCAAAGTTACTACTAAACTACAATCAAAGAATGAGACATAAATATTTAATCATTAAAATAATAGTTGACAAACGTGAAACTATTTTCTTATATTCATATATTTTTACTGAAATACTGAATTCTTTTCTGTATGTATAATGCAATTATTAAAACAGATAATATATAAATTAATTTTTAATAAGTAAATAAATTTTCTTCATTGAAAAAAGTAATGTTGTTATATTTGATGTATCTTGAATTTTAATGAAATAGAATTATGTCAATTTGAAAATCAATCTTTACACAGGGGTTGGTCGTAGCTTCAGTCACCCTCAACTTTCGTACGCCGATGAGGAATAAAGTTATTCTTTTTCATTTCCTTTGTTATTTTCATCATTTTTTTCCATAAAAATTATCATCAAATATATCGAAAAGAAATTGAAAGATAAGTCAGTTTTCAAAGTATAAACGTATTTCAAAGGGTTTTCTTCAATTAAAGAAATTTCATTCCATTACAGGAATTGCTTCTTCGAGAAATATGGCAAACAGAGAGCCGATAAACAGTTCAACTTGGTTTTACGATTGCTGGTAGAGAAAAGAACAGAAAATTAACAAACTTTACTCATTCTCATAATAATTGTTTATTGTTTAAGTGATATAGATATAATGATCCGTAATGTAATTTAACTACAATGATGGGTTTCGCAATTAGCAGAGTCGTGTTTATACATGGATTATACAATATGTACAGAAAAGCAATACTTGTTTTGGACAATTTCACAGAATTTGCAATCAAAGGATCAGCTATCGGGCACTTTCGTCCCCCCCCGTTCCATCTTTGAAAAATGGCGTTGTGTATGTAAGCGCGCGCGACACCTGCACACTCCGAACGCGTAAGGGTTCGTTCCCACTTATCTTACGAAACATCTTTTTTTTTTAGTAACACACTAATGATTTACACGGATTTCTCTAATCGATTTCATTTTCCACTTATCACGTGTTCCTTATTTACAGTAGTGTTATGTATATATTTATAGATCCGTCGTTCTCGTCGATGAACCGCTCGTGGTTTCAACTGACGAGAATCTTTTGATTTTCCTCTTACATCTATCCTCGCAATCATGAACTGTCTTTTTCTTCGATACACGCTGCATGGGATGCATTTCCTTTCATTTCTTTTACTCCGGAATTACAAATCATATCGAATTCTCTCATACCTTTTGATACGGATGCGATTGTTTAAACATGCCTAACTATTCACGATACATTCGTTTCTGGCTAATTTAGTTTACAAAGTGAAAATATAAGTGCCCAGAAGACACGTCATCGATATGCTTTTCAATTCGCAACTGTAGTTCAAAGGAAATGTAACGTCATGAGTGTAGATTGCATTTATTCGAGCCACCATGTCGATCGGTCGTGGAATTTAATTATTGAAAATGTTTTCATATCCGCGTGATGCACGTAAACATACTTGAAATCTCGTGTTTTTTTCAATGCCTCTTTGGAATTTCTGTTTTCGTTGTGTTTGTCATACAACGTCGATTATTTGTCTTTTTTAAACAAATGAAAGTTAATTGTCTGGAAATTGTTCGGAACACACGTCTCGCTTTCAATATATGCAACATTCAATTGAACTTGTCGTTAGACTGTGAATGTTTATTCTAATTCAACGTGTTTGATAAAGCTTTGTTAAAAGAAAAATTCAGTAGAATTTTATTTGTTGAAATAATTTATTGTTTATTGTTTGAGTTACTGAAATTTGTATTCTATCGTGTTTCGTGAGTTAGGAAATGTTATATAAATGCTTGAATTGCCACAGTCTACTTATTATTAATAACCATTCACTTCCTTGCAAATATTCATTCGCATTCATTCCACTTAATTAGAGAGACTATTGTTTAAATTAATTGTTTGATTGAAATTTTAGGAAAGAAAGAAACGTAAATAAGAACGCGATACGTTTAATTTCTTTCATTATGAGGATATTAATATTCAGTTTATGTCAGTCAGTCAAATATAAAAGTTTATTCTTGATTGTTTGGTTAATCTGATCCTTTATACCGTGGAGGTATTGTGCGATTTTCATAGAAACGGATCAAACATACTTAAAATTCATGAAAATATCATTTAATTTAACCCTTTCGGTACGGGGCAGAAGCGTTTCGTATGGTTGGAGCGAAAGTAAAAGTTTTTCCTGCACAGTAGTAAAAATGCATTAAAATGCATTTTCTTTAAGGTGGTTATATGAGTCATTTATAAAAATCAACATAAGTATAAGTAAATCTTTCTGAACGTATATATCAACGCGAGCTTATTTTTCGGAGCGCATTTATACGCTCATAATACTCAAAATGTTAAGGTATCATAATGCGTATTTATACGCTGATAATGTTAAAAGGAATTTATTATTGAGGATACGAACTGTTAAATAATACTTTTCTAAACTTGCCACTATTGAATTCGTGAAACGTCGAAATGTCGAAATTAATATTCATTATAAATAATTCATTTAACATTTTCGCCGGAATGAAACTTTACACCAGAAATATTTTCTGAATTCTTTAAAAAGTTTTAGTTCTCAGAGATGTTCTAGGATTCCTTCTCAGTCGACGGATTTCAAATTTTTGTATTTCCAGCAATTTTTATTTACGGGGATTCATCGTCGAGATCGAGATCGTGGCTTCGGGTCTTTTTTATTTCGCGCGCAACCAGTTTCCCAATCGACAAAGCTCTTAAAACGTTATCTCTAAGCTAATTAAAAATCAGATAAATTACGCAAAGTGCCTACTGGACACATGTATGTCGCTATCAATACTTTTTACAGATTTATACACGCATATCGCTTATTACTTTTTTTTTCTTCGTTATATTCTTCGCATTTCAACGGTTTAACACGAGAATATAGAGGAAAGCTGTTACACGTAAGTATTAGTTTTCGAGTACGAATGCGTGTGATTAATCGCATTCCATGAATGGTGGTTTTACGTGTCTACAATTCTGAGTCTGGGAACGCGTATCAAATTATGTATAACGTAACGGCGTCGATACAGTACAAAGCATCCCGTCACGATATTTTCGGCGTAAACAGAATCACTTCAATCAATTGCATCTAATTAATTTTATTTTATTTGTGGTTTCGTTAATTTGATGGTTTTTAAGTTCAACGAATACTTGCGATTTTAGGTTACCGTTTTTACATAATAAATAATCAATAAATTACTGCTTTATATCCATACAATTCTTATTCTTTCGTTAACGCCATCAGACTTACTGAACGTTGTAATGTACATTATTCCCTTTTGTTATCTTAAAGAAATTTAAGGGATTCAGAATTCGGATTATCCGACATTCTGAATTTGAAATACGATGTCACAAATCTGTTTTACCGATAGTGGGTGTTAACAAACCCATTTTGTACGTTCATTTCGTATTTTATTTAGGCCTGAGGGGTTTTAATTATTTCGAAGTTCGTCAAAGTTTACAATTCTTTCACGTTCAGATTGTACCGAAACTGTTGAATTTATAATAATTTATTTTACATTCAGATTAATAAAAAGATCTCTAAAATTTTAAGGATTTATGGTACTCATCAAGAAGAGTAAAAAATGCCTGATCAATATAAATCTCAATATCAAGTCGTTCCATAGAGAATACAAATTTTCCTACGAAATTGTTTTGCTAATGTATATAAATATTGATATCCTGTCAGGCCAACCCTTTCGTTTAGAAATAAAAAAAATATTTTGCCCGAGAAAGAATAACTTCTGGATTTATTATTGATTAACAAACTGCAGATTTTTATGCGTACTTTTATTGTTGATTCCGGTGCGAAAAGCTTCAAAGGTTTAGAAATGTTACGAGCACGAATAAAATCTTATAAAAATCTCTATCTTTTATACTCTTTAAAAATCTACACAATCTGCGAATGCACAATAATCCGCAGTCTATTAATTAAGCATTTCTACCCCCTTGACGATCAATCTGAATGCATTCACTTTGAACTTTCATTGTTACAATGACTTTGTACGCCTGAACGGAACAATGATATTTTGTATTATATTGTTCAAATGCCCACTAATAACCTAATTATTACCTACTTGTTGCATATCACGTAATCTGTGTTGATTGTAAAAATTACCAGTGTCTCGATTTTAATATAAATCGTTTCGAGCTAGGCGTACACAAATTGATTATTCTAAACCCCCTCAGACCTGCTATACATTGTAATGTACATTACATTTCCATTGGCTTGAAAAAACTTAAAAGCTCAAATTACTGGATGTCCTGAACTCAAAACACATCATTATAAATCTGTTTTATCGATAGCTGGCACTAACAATTCCACTTTCGTTACGTTTCCTTCGTGTAAATTCGAATTCCAATCTTAATTCGATAAATATAACAATAAAATGTATTTGATCGAATTAAATAAACTGGATAATAATTCTGAAGAATTGAGACAAATATTTCCATGTCCTCTGCAGAAGTTTACAACGATGCCAAACGAATCGCGATTGTACCCATGTCCACCGGAAACGAACACCAATTCCGCGTGTAGATTACTGGCGCTTCATCGAAAAAAGTGAAAAGAAGAAGAGAAAAGAAAAAAAGACTGTCGAGGTTCGGGGGAACACAAAATAGACGTCGGCTGTCTTTTTCTATACAAAGAGGAAGGTCAAGCTAATTTGCGGTGCGTACTGTACATCGAGTGTAAATAATAATACTATGATACAACGTATAAGTACATTGGTTTAAATGATTGCAGGCTGCTCCTCTCATATCACAACGAGGTGCGTTGCCGGACCCGCTTCTAAATATCTAAAAACGGCTTTCTCATAAAAGAAAGCTGTACATGCGCTCGGATGTGTATGTATACAATTTGCGCACTCATACCCCTTCGCACCAATATATATATATGTATATATATATATATATATAATATTTATATTCATATTTATAGTTATATTTATACTTATATTTATACTTATATTTATATTTATATTCATATTTATATTTATATTCATATTTATATTTATATATTTATATATTTATATATATATATAATCTTTCTCTTCTTTTATGTATATATTTATATCATCTCGCGCAGAACATGCCGTGTAACCCCACCAGTTTAAATGCACCATTTACAATTCACCGTGCAACGAGACTGCGCTGTTTTCAAAAGCGATACAAAATTTAACTAAATATTCGGGGCTCGAGATTCTCTAGAGAAATGTCCAGGAGCAAATTAGACTCCGGGACCAATTGGACATCATCGAACTTCTCTTTCTCGTTGCACAGTGAACAGTAGCATAGCGATTCTATCGTATGGCGAAGAGCTAAATGGCACCGTTTGCGCGGAACATTTTGTAACGTAAAATAAGCCTAAGTGAGGTGACCATCACTGACGCGCATGGACGGTCGAGAATTAACGAAGGGCCGGGACGTCGCGGCACCACGTGTCTTGCGGCCCGACCGGCTCAGTCTAGGCACCGCGCACGTCGGACCCTCGTACGAAACCACGTCACGGGGGTTCTGGGGAACCGGGACGTGGGGCCCGGTATTGACCAAGCCCCATCAGTCCTCTTTTAACACGTTTAAGACTAGTGTGACAATAGGAACATGGTATCTGCTGGCTCTGGGTGTTAACGAGAAGATATGTCGTCGGACTTTCTGGTCCTGAGTCTCTTTCATTTCCCAATGCACTCGAATGGATGCACACTGGCCTGGCTCAAACCACCACTCTTCTATCGGCTGGCTAGAGCGGGGCGGAGTTCAGTTTCCGATTGCGTGCAGCGTTGAACGTGAGAGATATGTACCGGTTGTACTTCACGTGGCCAACCCTTCGCCTCTGGCCGCTGGGGGCGGCGGGAGTCGCGTAGACGGTGGTGTCGAGTCGCCTTCTGATCGATTCGAAGGCTCTCTGTCGTAGTGATGCTGCAGCCCGTCACCTGTCCAACTGGGGACCCCCGACGAGTTCTGGTTGCTACCGTTAGAAGACGGCGTGCTAGGCGAATGGGACGGCGAGGACGTCTGGAAGAGCATGGACCCAGATGGAATCGATGATTTCCCGTCGACCAGGGGCCCATTGCTTGTAGCCGCCATAGGTTGTTTGTCCAAAGGGAACCCAGCCCCGGTCGCGTACACCGAGCCAAACAGGCCCGCGTACTTGCCGGTCGCCACAGAATGGCCCGGAAGGCCGTTGTTACTTTGGATCACCGAGATCTCGTTCAACTGTAAGTAATGCACGCCGACGGGTTAGGTTTATTCGGGACCAATTACCTATAAAAATCAAAACAGAGAATGATTGTTTAATGGTTGTCTGAATGCACTGGATACCCGGTGATTAGAATTAGTTCGGGACTGGACGATTTGGTGTGGCGCGTGTTCTGGGAGATCGTGGTTTTCGTTTTTCATGGGAGCACCTTATAAGAGTGCTTTCGAAGTTACTGGTTTAGGGTCTTTGGATATCCGTTACAAATCTGTTACGAATGAACTAATTTCAATCTGAAGATTAAAATTGGTGCAATAGAGGAGAAAAGTAAAATAACATTGTATTATGTTTTATGAGAATTTTGTATCGCACGATTCTTTAAGAACTCGTGTATGTCATCAGAGCATGACGTTTTGAAATCTTAAAATAAGTATAGTCACATCGCTATTTTTAAAGATTTATGTGATCTCAGACACTTTATAGTTTCAGGTTAAAAATCGTAATTTGTTTTTTGAGTGAGTTTACAAAATTCTCAATACATATAAAAACTAACAGGACGAAAACGCAATGTTTCGCGTTCGACATACCTTCTGCTGCACGCCGTTAAGGAACGGCGCGGGTAAATACGGGTAAAAGAGATCCGGCCGCCGCTGGAGAAACTCCGAGTCCTTGGGCGTGATTGGTAGGGGAGGCAGATCCAGGGACATTCGACGGCCTCGTCGCGACGCCCCGTTGGTCCACATATGAGTGCCCATGTGCACCTACGGGCAGAAATCACAAAACATCCCTCGGTACGTCTGTCACAGTCGATCAATCCGGCGCAGGTGTCTTTCATCGAGCTCGAAATTTTGTACGTTACGCGTCAGCGTTAGTACAAGCAGTAGCAGCTAGCCAATGTTAGTGAGAAGAGAAAAAACTCGAAGACTCAAAAAATGGGAATAAAACACACTAACGATTATGAGTAATAGGGTTTGAGGGAGGGAGAGGAACGTAGAAAAAGTAGAAAACTAGAGGAAG